TGTATGTAGCAAATAGTAGATGAGCCAAGACTTGAAGACAGACATTTTGGTTCTGGAGCTACTATGCTATATTGTCACTAAGGAAATAGGTGGTTTCCTGCCCTCAGCAGTCTCCATCCCCAAAGCACTCCCTTTGGAGACAGACTCACCTAAACAAATTAACTGAACAAATTAACTGGCTAGTGTCCAGCCTTCCTCTTTTTATTGGGTTGGCTGTTCATAGGTATTTATCTTCAAATGTGGATATAAGTTAAAAACCAGGGAAAAGTTCCCACTTGGGCAGAACAGCTATAATTATGTAGGTATGTTGGGGTGGGAGATTGTGTATTTCTGGCATATTTCCATGTATTTCTAAACTGACGGCAGGACATAAACCTAAATGAACAAATAAGTGAGACTAAGGTATAAGAAGGGCAGCCAGGGTCATCAAAGAAATGATAGCTGATACACTGTGCCCATTTTTCTTCAAGGTGGATTAGTGTATTAGTTTCTTAGGGCTGTCATAACAAAATGTTACAGACTGGGTAACACATAGAAATTTATATTCTCACAGTTCTGGAAGCAGAAAGTCCTAGATCGAGGTGTTTTCAGGGTTGATTCCTTCTGAGGCCATGAGGAAAGCTCCTTGACTTGTAGATGACCATTTTCTTCCTGTGTCTTCACATAGTCTGTAGGTGTCTGTGTCCAAATTTCCTCTTATTATAAGGACACTGGTTATACTGGATTAGGGCTTACCCTCGTGACCTCATTTTAGCTTAATCACCTCTTTAAAGACCATACCTCAAAATAGTCACATTCTGAGGTACTGGGGGTTAGGACTTCGACATACACACTTTGTGGGGGACACTATTCAGCCCTTAACGACTACACAGCAGCAAATGGACCTCACTCACCTCACGGAGTTTCCGTTACCTTAAAAATAAGTCGTATACATTGGCTAAGTGGCAAGTGACAAATGAGCCTTGAATTAATTCTAGTTCATTTTAGGGGAGTTGGGATTACTTTGTGAATTGAGGAACTATATAAAGTAATTAAGACGTGAAAGGCAATAGCTAGTATTGGTCTTTGGTTCCAACTAAGTGGTCTTTGAGGAGTTGTCTGAGAGCCTGTGGAAGTGGTTCTCTTCGTCATTTTATGAGCCGATGATGTGGGGATGATTTGTCCAGGTTTCTGTTGCTCCTCCTTTTCTTATATAACAAACTACCTGATCCTTCTCCTGGTCCTCCCCTGACCACAGCAGTGTTGGTTGTTCTGCTCAGTGGCAAATGCTTAGACTTTCTTCTGTTAATATAAACTCCAAAAACCTCAGTTTAGATGTGGATATTCCCATGGACAACTAACTCTTTATTCTTCACCTATGTCAGAGATTGCTCAGCAGCATAAGCTAAATTAAGGCATTTGCAATCACTACAGGAATAAATATGGTAAAAAAATTTATCCTGTCTGGCCTGAAGTAGTTACAGACTCTCATGTTGCTGGATTGAATCATGTTTCAAGTTTCCTCCCAGACAGTGGAATCCAGTGAATGAGGAACAATTCTAGCCCTAATGGAACTATAAAGTAATCAGTCTTCCATGCTTCTTATTGCCCATCTTTGCTCCAGCAACTTTTCTTCACTTGCTCAGTGCCTTTTGGTCTTTTGATGCCCAACAGTGATTCAATATTTCCAAAATTCTTCTAGCCATCTTTTTCCCTAACGAAAGCACACTGCTTTAAGACCCTTTTAAAAGTCTTCTAGGCTCACCCAACCCCTATAATAAAATACCCTGTATATCTCCAACTCCTCTAGAATCTCTCAAATGATGAGACATCCATTGCCTTGGGAAAGAACTCATTTCATTTCTGAAAAAATAAAAAAAAATCTTCAATTTCATAACATTCTTTCTTTTTGGAAACCTGATGTTTGTTCTAGCCAAGTCTCATCCATTGTTCCTAGTCTGTTCTTGATCAGTCATAATCAAGTGAATCCATCTTCCACTTGACCACCATTGCACATCTGAGGACTGCTAGTATGCCTGGCCTGAGTCTTCTATACCTCAGGTTAGGCAATACCATAGCCGACATCTCCAACCATGGTTTTGGATGCCATTCTTTGGCTCTTATCATTGGGCCTCAATTCTCTGAGCATGTCTTAATGCTTACGACTGGATCGACACTTAAAATATGTCGAGATTCCTCCCCATCAGATCAAATGTTACCTTCTCCGTGAAGCCTTCCCTGATGGACTCAAACCAGGCACTTAACAGCTTCTTTCTTAGTGTTCTCCTACCACCTCGTACATTATTTTCTAGAACACTTAACTTAGTGTACCACAACTATTGGCATTTTCTCTTTCTGCTATATTATGACCCTCTCTTTGACTAGGGATTGTGTCTTGATCATCACAGTATCTTTTATTCCTGGCTCAGAATAGGGAATTCATGGCTATTGGTTGCTTTGCTGATTTAAGAAAACAAAGTTTAAATTTCAGTTATCATGGCTGGTCAGAAAAGGAAGTGTTTGGGGAGATTTTTGATGGTTCTAAGGTCAGACCCTTTGAGGAAAATCCTAGATGACTTATATTTAAATTATCCAGGCCAGTCTGAAAAACTTGTGGGGAGTACAATGTGCTGTGTGGCATACCACTGAGACTTCCCAGATGCTTCTGGAAGTCCCAGTGCCAATCATGGCTTTCAGCCCTAGTGTCAAATTGTACCTAATGTCCCCAAACTCTCATGCCAGTTAATGAGATGTGACATTAAAAAGCTATCTTTTCTTCTCTCATTGAGGAGTAATTGATCATCAGACTTATTTTTTTACTTTTCTAAGATGAGGGTTGAAGGCCCGTGTTACCAAGGAATGATTTCTTCCCAGAAAGAGAAGGAACCAAAATGTATGTCCTATCTCCAAAGACACATATTTTCTAAAAGGAATTTTGGCCAGCTTGCTATATCATTTACTTGCTTGCTGATGGTATGTAAACATTGTCCTGGGTATCTTTTAAATCCTGAACACATTAGGGGCAGGTCTCAGATCTTCCTGAGACAATACTTCCTCTCCAACTGATAAAAAATGCTCTTTATCTTTAGGGCAGTTATTAAGCTCTTCTTGCAACTAAAATATGTTCTTCTAGGGCTGGGAGGAGTTCATCCTGTTCATTTTCTCAAAACTCTTTTCTATGGTGGTTTCTGTCTACCTAATTATCCCAGAGAATGGCTTTCTATAGAACTATTACACATTTCCAAGGACAAAAAAATTCAAACTTTCCTCTTGCACCCATCTGTGACCCATTCTTATCAGCAACTTTTTATTTCAGCATTTTTGACTGAGTTCAGAATTTGAGAGGTGGCCTGGTGGCTTACAACACCTCCAGACTCCCGAACAACCCAGCTACTGAGATGCTATTCCAAGGGGGATGTACTTCTTCTTCAAGACCCAATATGACAGTTTCTATCGTAATCTAGTATGTTCGTTGAAGATAACTTTGCAGGATTGCCTCACGTGGTATTTGTCATTTGATGTAGCATGAAAGCAAATTCTTGAGAATAAATAAATACAGTCAGAGTTTTCCCATCTTAAGTGGAGGTGGGAGGCTATTTAGAAGGGTCATGGTAGAAATTCCGAAAGCTTAATTCTAGGTCTGTGAACCACACAGGAGGGATTGCTGTCTCATTCTCTGTATCCTGAATGTATAAATGAGAAGTATAAGAGAAATTTCAGAGAGAGAAATATTAAAAGCTAAATAAAGGTCACCCTTCGATACTTGAAATAGATCATTTAAAAAGTAAAATCACTGTATAATAAATATTTGGAATTTGAGCCTATTTATATTTTCTATTTTAAATGGATAGTATCATTCAAGGAAAATAGCTCCACTGCATGGATAGCTAGCTTTGCCTGGGACATTGTTCTCATCGTATGTGGTCATTTTGCAGAAACCCAAATGACCTCCCTTAAAGCTGAGGTACAAAATCACTATCAGAGAGAGAACTTGGACATGGATATGGCCCGAGACGCAGGAGCATATTTCTCATGCTGTAAGCTTGTTAGACCTGCCTGATTCTATTGTAATGCTTAAGGTTGTTAGCGAGGCTCTGCTAATCCACTGGAGAGGAGGCCTTTGTAGAAGTGTCTTCCTTTTCCACAGTAAACACAGAAAGAAAGGGTGAATGTAGCCCTGAGAATTCCAGAAAAGTTTATTAAGATGCACCTGAGCTTGAGGCTCTCTTGCAAGGAATGCTGCAGTCGGAGGTGAAGGTGGGTGGGGGGAGCGTCATTGGCTAACCAGTGTGAATGCAGTTGTCAAGGCAAGGAGAGAGGGTATTGTTTAGTATTGAAATCATGTATTCCAGATGTGGACATTTGGTAGTCAATCTGCTCTGAAGTGACATGCTGCTGAATCTTTAAAGGGCTTCAGCCAGGGAGAGCAAAATCTGATTGGGCAAATTGCTAAAATATTTAAAGTGCAGCCTGTTAAAGCTTTTACTGCGAAGAGAATCACGTCAGAAGTTGTAGTCAGAAAGAGCGAGTAATTGGCTTTCCATCCTCATGCCAGTCAGTCAGCATGAGACTCTGTTCCTATTCCTTCCTCTTCATTGCCAGTGCTAATAACAACCCTTTGAGGTGTGCGTGTGTGTGTGTGTGGTGTATGTGTGTGTGTGTAAGCATGCGCATGTGCACATGTTGGAGAGAGAGGATAGCTGGTAAAATGAGAGGAGGTGGAGTGAGATAGCCATAAAAAAGGAGACCAAATCCACAAAATAATGTGAAGACCATGTTAGATAAAGGAGAACAGGAGAGAATGGCAGAATTATGCATGACAAAGGTCACCTGCACTTCCAGGTGGTGGTGGTTTGGGGCAGTTGTCTTTCAACGGATGCATTTTACAAGCACAAGAATGGCCTTCGGTGACAACCGTTTCCTCTGCATCTTTCATCTCCTCTGAGATGTAACTCAGGGGGCACTTTCCATTTATAATTTATCACATTTTCCACTTAGATTTTCCTGTCCTTTCTCCCCAGGCATGACCCCTTGTTAATTCCCGGCAATGATCAGATTGACAACATGGACTCCAACGTGAAGAAGTATGACTCTACTGGGATGTTTCACTGGTGCGCACCCAAGGAGATAGAGAAAGTCATCCTGGTGAGTGACAGACCGCAGAATCGACCATCTACTTCTGTCCCAAACTGTTTCCTAGGAATGTGGTTTACCTAACTGGATCGGGGGATAATACAGTCCCTGGTCCTAATTGTTTTCAAAAATTGAAATTCAGGACATATATTGAAACAGCTAGAAATCTCATCCAAACATGAACTAAGAGAAGAATTTTCCATTTCTGAATATATATGGGCTCATTAAAATAGGGAGTGTTACATACTGTATGAAAGGCATCACGAGAGGCAGTGTGTACCATAACTTCTGTGGATGGGGCCCTGAGGCCAGAGCCTGACTGCCATTTAGTAGCTGCATGGCCTTGGGCATGTCGCTTGATCTCTTGCACTTTAGTTCTCTTATCTGTAAGAAAATGTGATGAGAATGACCCTAACTCATAGGGTTGCAGTGAAAATTAATACCTAGCATGTGACTCAATAGTTAACCTATTATCACTATTATTATTAAATGCCATGAAGAAATATGAATGCTGCCTGTATTGTTTATAACAATATCTTGTATTTGTCTAGATAATAGCTTTGCATATTGTGATCCTTCTTAGCATGCAATGTAGACAGGTAAAATGCATTTGCTGATGATGACAATGATGAATCATGGATCACCTCAGTAATGTGGTTGTTGGGGGTAGGTGCTCAGAGCCCTATTTCCTGGTTGGCTCATCTCTGTAGCAGCCATGTGCTTCTGTTTTTTTTCCAGGAATGTCAGCATAGATAGCAGTCTATTCTACTCTTTAAACTTGTCCTATTAACAGCTTTAGGTTTTAATGCCTACATCAGCTTTCCTACATTTTATTGTCTTGCTAATCCATGGAAAATGGATTAATATTCAGAAAGGTCAGATAGAAGGGTGCTTTCTCCCTTGTGCCTCTAATCCCCGGATTGCTATGGCCTGTTCTCTTATGTCAGGCAGGAAAATCCTATCATTTCTGATGTCATGGCCACCCTTCCTGAAAGAGAATGGTTCCAGTTCTCCAGAATGGCTTTGTACTATAATCCACTATATTTTTCCCTGTGTTTCATCTGAATGTGCTTGTGTTTTCTCAATTTAATTGCAATCAAGCATTAACAGCAAATACAGCGTTGTGCTGGAGACTGTCTTAGAGGTGTGAAAATTGCAGACAAAAGCACAGAAAGTCAGAATTCTCAGGAAACAGCCCTTGTTCAACTTACCAGGAGTGCAAATTGTTCTAATCACAAAGGTGCTTGTGTATTTACATCCTGATATTGTATTCACCGCACTTTTTCTCTGGTGATCTAAACTCAGCCTGGTATTCCTCACCTGGGGCAGGTCAATGGCTAGGTGCCATATCTGGGATCCAGGGTTTTAATAACTAACGGACATCCAACCAAAGTATCCTACTGGCATGAAAGAGTTTACGGAAGTGATTTACTACCTTTCTCATCTGAAAAATAACATCATTTAATAAAACATTTATGACAAGTCTTTTATGTATTAGGCACTGCTGTTGTTACTGGAGGTATAACCTCTCACAGACCTTATAATCTAGTAGGGGCTAAGAGAAGATCTTCAGGTAGACAAATTAATATATAATAACATGTCAGATATTGATAAAGTGCTTGAAGAAGATAAAGCAGGGTCATGCACCAGAGAAGGACTGGGAGGTGCAATTTAGACAGTGTAGTTCAATAGGCCTTCTCTAGTCACACTGGAACATAGATGAGAATGCTCAGAAGATCCTTTCTGGTGTGCGTACCCACTGGGTGCAGGACACTAACCACTTTGGGGATTGGAAAAAATGAGATGGACTCAATCTTGAGGAAATGATCATCTAATTGCAAAGAAGACATAAAATGTAACCATGAAACAATATATGTAAAGCTAAGTGTTAAGAGACACAAAGCACTATTCAAATCTAGGGGAGAAGATTAGCATGCATTTAAGTGGCCAGGGAAGTCTTATTGGATACACACAGGTTATATTTTAAAGGTTTTAAGGCCATTAAGGCCCAGCTTGTATTAAGCCTTGAAGGATGTGTAGGAAACACAAGACACATATACTTTCTCTAGTGGGTCTTAAACCTAGAAGAATGAGACTCTCCAGGGCTGAGGCCCAGGAATTGGGGACTTTACAAGGTTCTCTAGGTGATGTTGCTGTAGTTGATCTAAGGATTGGTGTTTTGGTCCCCAGATCTAAGCTTCTGGGATCAGCATCTATGCCTCAGCCAGTCTGCTAACTGGTGCCTTCCCTACCTCCTTATTCTAGATTTCTTATCCCTCTTCTGGACCCAGTTTGTGACCTTGGGCTTGTTGGACAGAGCTAGCCTCCCAGGTTACCTGGGCAATTAAAAATAATTAGGAGCCCCGTCACAGCATGTTACAAACTAGTTGACCCTCTGTTGGTGGTACCCAGGCACACACACTTTCATGAAGGCAAAATAACTGACTCCAGGCCTTCTCCATGAAACAGTGATGTGAAGTGTGACTCCCCAGTGGGTCCACCTTGGTCATAGTTTATAAAACATTTCTTACAGACTATGTCTTAGATGTTCCTATATGTTGCAGAGGAAAATAACAGTGACAGCCCCTATTTTATTTTATTCTAACGATCAGGGAGTGAAAGCTAGCTTCTTCCTCTCCTTGGGGGTTGCTGTAATAACCCTGACATTGTTGAGAATTGCAATATTGGCATTTAAACAATCAATACACTGGTCAATTCTAGGGATTAAATGGAGCAGAGGTTGATGTGTGCAGTGGACATTAATATGCTTCCCCAAAAGTATTGTAGACCACATGGGGCCATCTAGGCATGCAGTGGGTAGACAGAGAGGAAGGAAGGCAAGAAGGAGATGTTGGACCAGAAGGAGAGGCAGACAACAGCCCACAGCTGGCCTTCTTATGTTACTCTCTTCACTAACAGTGAACCACCAGCAGTGGGCTATCCATCTGCATTTCCTGGAAAGCTGGGGTCCTCCTCTAGAGAAGCGGTCCCCAACTCCAGGGGCCAACGCGCCTATGAGAATCTAATGCCTGGTGATCTGAGGTGGAGCTGAGGCGGTGATGCTAGCACTGGGGAGCAGCTGCAAATACAGATGAAGCTTCGCTCGCTCACCTGCCTCCTACCTCCTGCGGTGTGGCCCAGTTCCTAACAGGCCATGGACCAGTACTGGTCAGCATCCCCAGGGGTTGGGGACCTCTGCTCTAATGGGTTGATTTGATTCTTTTATTTGTCTCCTTTGTAGATAAAGGCCTAGGGTTGAAAAATACATGGGCTGTTGATTTGCTGATCTATCTCTAGATTCTTTTAATGATTATTTGGGAATCTTCCTCTGGTGATTTTATACAGGTGAGCAACTCCAGGCATATTCCCGGAAACCCCAAGGCAGTAGTGGACAGGATTCAGAAAACTTTCTGTAAAGGGTTTTATAATAAATAATTTAGGTTTTGCTGGCCAAATGGTCTCTATTGACTCTGCCGTAATAATATACAAGCAATCATAGGCAATGCCTAAATGAGTAAGGTTGGCTGTGTTGGAATAAGATTTTATTGGAATTTGAATTTCATATAATTTTTGCATTTTATGAAATATTCTTCTTTTAATTTTTTTCAACCATTTTAATATATAGAAACTAATCTTAGCTTACCAGCCATGAACATACAAAAACCACTGGTGGACCAGATTTGGCCTGTAGGCCATTTTGCCAACGTCTGGCTTAGGATATTATGTTCTACTTACTTATACAATAATGTACTCATCATCTCACAGATAAGTCTAGAACTCAAAATGCAGATTTTTTGAGCTGAGACCAATTTAGGAGCTGACCATTTTATCATCATCTCAGCAAAAGAGGCAGAAAGAGCAGCTAATTTTATCAATAATTTAATAGAAACTATTTCTTCCCTTTTCAAATATTATAAATATTGCTATTCCTTCTGATTTTTGCCCTGAAAACCATTATGAAAGATCTCCTGCTCACATGCATTAATGGCATCTCTTTTTAAAATGTTTTGTCAAAAAGGGTAGTGATATGCATGGATATATGTTCCCATACATTTATTATACCAATATAGTCTATATATACATACATACTCAAATTATATGTGGCACGTGTATAACATTGTTGAAATAAAAATAATAGCACATAATAAGCACTCAACAAATGTTTACTCCATCTTTTACACAAATGATTTCTTTAGTTCTTACCACAACCCTATCAGATCTTCTCTCCAATGCCTATACATTTCTCCCCTGTTGCAGACCCGAAGTGAAGCTGCCATGACTGTCCTGAGTGGCCACGTCGTGGTCTGCATCTTTGGCGATGTCAGCTCAGCCCTGATTGGCCTCCGGAACCTGGTGATGCCACTACGTGCCAGCAACTTTCATTACCACGAGCTCAAGCACATAGTGTTTGTGGGCTCCATTGAGTACCTCAAGCGGGAATGGGAGACGCTTCATAACTTCCCCAAAGTGTCCATATTGCCTGTAAGTCCAAGGTCACGTTATTGATGTTGTTTTCTTCCTTTCATTCACAAAAGAAAATCCCAGATGGATGTAATAGTTGTAGCTTTGATCATGCTTCTGCTTCTTTATCTGGTTATGGGCCTGAGGACTCAGCCCTTTTTCCCTGTGCTCTGTCTAGGAATATCCAAACCCTGGAGACCTTATTAAAAGGAATTTGCAGCCAGGTTCAGTCGCTCATCAGACATGAAGTTTAGCGGACATCAAATATATTAACCATGTCAGTTTCTAAACACTCTCTCTCTCGTCTACCCAAATCTAGTGCTGTATGATATTATGGTGCTTAGAGTAGAATTAACCTATGAAACTATTTATTTCATTTTATTTATGACATTATGAATGCTTGGAGAACTCTTGATTGTACCACATTCTGTTTTTAACTAATTGTGTTTAACAGAGTTCTTTATTTCTGCTGTAGAGAAGGCTAACCCCCTTCTGCTGGTCAACTCCTACCTCCCAATTCATTTAGAAGCCCAGCCGTGTTTCCGTGGGTTTGTGTATGTGTGTGAACATGTATGCCTGTGATATTCTTGATTACAAAACACTGGTACCCAAATCTAAAATGAACGTTTGGGACTCCACAGTTTAGTGTGAGGATGTAAGATACACGATCTGGAGTCATGTAACTGACTGCTTCCTATCATTAATCAATATATTTGCCATCAACTTTCAAAAAATTATATTGCACATTTCAACATTTGATATTGTTTCCTATGTCACAAAGCAGTGCAAATATCATTTATTCTCAATACATTTTTCTTGGAAATTCACATCCCTAAAATTGAAGAACATGAATTTGGTGCTACATTTCAAGAGGTCTAGGGTTTTTCCCACTTATGGAGCTGAAATTCTTCTAGAACCTTAAAAATGGAAAACAGAAAGTCAAGTAATATAATTTAATAAAGAACATATGAGACTCTACCTACAAGTAATAGGCATCAATAGCCACCATTTGTCCTTACATATGCCTGGCACAATAGGTGCTAAATAAATATTTAAAGAAGTGAGAAAAATATAGACAGATATCTTTTGGATGCTGGGCCAAAAACTCACTGACTTAAAAAACACATGTAGTTAAAAATAGGCACCTACAGAAAAACAAATAGTCATACACATAGAAGAACACAAACAGATATATACCTTGTTAATTTCAGACATAATCCATTTGATTCTATTTTTCCATGATTATCTTCCTACATGTGATCTTATTCATAGTCCCTGAAAGATCTGGGTCTAAAAGTATTTTGTAAGGAGCTTATTATTTTGTTGGGCTTATATTAGTCTGTGTGTATGTGCGATATTTGGTGTGGGTGTTTGGGTGTGTTTCCTTCTGCGTGCCCTTGTACACATCTACTCACCTGCCTGTTTATATGTGAATGAGCTTTTATATTTGCAGGTCCTTTTAAAACCCTCCAAAATTTAGCATGCTCAAACACAACATATTTGTACAATAGACCTTCTATGTCTTCGCATATTTCATTGTTTAAACAATGCCTCACAGATAGGGCCAGCCCTGAGAAATACAAGATGTTTCAATGTATATCATTTGTATTTCTTGAGTTTTGAAATCATGTGTATATAACTGTGCAGGGTTTGACTTATATCACAATTACTATTTCATTCTCTACAAAATGAAAATTAAAAGTATATGGACGTAGGCAATTGAGGCTTATATACTGGTGAAATGATTTGAGAAGTTGGTCAGACTTATTTTGTACAAAGAGATCCCAGGAAGAGAGGGGATTCTTCTTCTCTTAAAAGATACTGCTGCAGAATCTAGAACCAATAGCTTCCCAGCCTCGTAGTACTAAATAATTCTTCCTCCTTAATTTTACTCTGTGGTAATATTCTGGGGGCTGAGAACTACTATTGAGTCATAAAAGAGAGTGGATGGCTTTGACTTCTGAGCCAAGTCCAATCTTCTCAAAGCTCCTTTTCCAGGAGAGAGAACCAGAGAAAGGCATCCAGAGATATAAGGCAGTTAGCAAACCCTATCCCTACATAGTCAGTGTGGTGAGGGCTGCTGGAGTCTCCATACAGACAAAGCAGAAGCCAGATTCAGGCTGGAGGACCAAGGAGACTGGGGGCTGGATGTGAACTCCAAAATGATATCCCTGGGGAGCCCTGGGATACCTGACGAGTTCTGCTGTGACCCCTGCTGAGGACACAGAGCATGTGTAGTTCATGCCCCTCACCTCCAACAATAACCCTGTGGTTGCCCTCCTGGCCCCTCTGTCATTATGTCCTTGATCTGGACATAATGATCTGGATTTATTCCCTTTGTTTTTTGTTGTTATGGGATTTTTTGAAAATCTGTTTACTGGCTTATTTATTTTTAATTACACCAGTAGTATACACATTTATGTTATAAAATATTCAAACAATAAAGAAGTATTTAAAGTCAAAAACAAACTTTTCCCTTCACTCCCAATCTTATTCCCCTCCCTAGAGGTAATTACTGTTATTATTTTAGTGTATGTTTTTCCCAAACTTTCTCTCTGAGTGTACATACATTTATAAATGCATTCATAAATATATAGTTTCATTTCGTGGGTTTCTTCCTACATAAATGAAATCATACTTTTCAAATAGTCTAGAATTTTTTTTTTCCTTTTTAAATTTATCCCTCTATTTTAGAGATTCTTCCATGGCACTGCCTGCACGGAGAGCCGTTTCAGTCCCTTTACCTGCGGTATAGGCTCACGATGTATGTACTTCCAGGGGTGTATTTAACCATTCCTATGTCGGACAATTAGGAGATTTTCTTTTTCTTTTATTTTTTATTTTTTATTTTACTATTTGCTGAAAATATGCAATAAAACTATATGACCTGAAGCTTAACTCCTTTCCATCTCCCCTTTGCATGATGCACATTAATTCTGTCCCCTCCCTCATCCTCCAAGGGGAGAGGCACTTTCAGCCCCACCTCATCACACCATGCTCACTGGCTATTTCCCCTTGGCTGCACTGGAAATTCTACTTGGAGCTGCTGCCTTTTGCTTGAGACAGAAGTGACCTGCTATTGACATAAACAGGCATTTGAAACCCACCCACCTCGTTACATTCTGAAAGCCAGAGGTTGCCACAGGACAGTTACTTAAATCAAGACAATTTCCAGGCAGGAAGAAGATGTAGAACTCTGGCATTATTCCTCTCCCACGTTTGTTAGTAATAGCTTGATTGAGTATTGAGAACAAGCCTAAAATGCTGCCATCAGCACCGACTACCCTTTAGATTAGCACACAGCTCCTATTCCCTTGAATGTAGTTAGACGAGCTTAATGTCAAGGCATAAAAAAGATACTTGTTAAATAATTTCCCAAAGCTCCGATGCGATCTTTAATTTGTTTTTATT